AGCCAGAAGTGGAGTAAACCACCATGCCATGCTCTATGCTGGGAAACCCAAACTAAGGATGAATGATTTGGAGATAACACAACAAGCATGGGCCTGAAAGGCTTCAGAGGGAGTATACTGATAATGCCTGAATCATCTGCAAAATCCCATGAACTGAACAGTTTCTCTCCATTCATACAGATACTTAAATGCTATGCGGCCACATGGAAGATGGCTGTGGACTGAGTCTCTCAAAGGCACTGCATCCCATTGGAGCCTGGGAGGGACTAGTCATACCCCATGTCCTCCTCCCATTCCCTCCTCCTCTGCTGTTTATTTGTGTGTGTGGTGGGTTCACATATATATGTGGGTGCACATATGTGTGTGGGTGACATGCACCTGTATGTGGATTCCAAGGTCAGGAATCTTCCTCGATTGCCCTTTCACTTTACCCTTTAAGGCAGGATCTCTCAATCAAACCCAGAGCTCATGGATATGGCTACTGCACTGGAGATCCCCCATATCTCCTGTGTACCTTCCAAGGCTGGAATTAGATACAGGCTGCCATGCCCACCTAGTATTTATGCGAGTTCTGCAGATCCAAACTCCAGTCTATTGCCTGCATAGCAAGCATTTTAAACACTGAATCACCTCCCCAGGCCAGAACTGATTTTAACCACTCATCATAGCATGCATATTCATCCAAAAATTCTACTATTTATGGATGGGCTGTCCAAGACAGGCCAGTTTGTTTATGTAAAATTCAACTTCTTAATATTTAGTGTAATTAAAAAAAATCTCAAATACCTTCTACACAGGACATTTCAAGCTTATATTAGATCTGTGCGTGAGGGGCAATGTTCTTTTTTAAAATAATAATTTTTATAATTCTTTGAGAATTCTACACAATCTATTTTGATCATCTTCACCCTCCTCTCCCAACCCCTCCCATATCCACCCCTCAACCCTCTCCTCTCCATCCACCCAACTGTGAGTTTCCTTTCTTTTCTTTCCCAATCTGATTCAGTTCATGTTGCCCAACTCCTCTTGGGAGTGAAACTTGCCCTAGAGTGTGGTTGATCTACCATGGTTCACATCCTTAAAGGAAACTAACTCTCTGTAGCTATTAAATGCCAATAGCTTCTCAGCCAGTGGTGGGATTTTAAGTTCACCTTCCTTCTTCTTGCTGGGATGCTCTCTGACTTGAGGTGGTACAGTTCTTATACACACTGTAATAATCACTATGAGTTCATATGCACACTGCCATGCTGTGTCTGGAAAGACAGTTTCCTTGAAGTCATCATTGCCTGTAGCTTTTATGATGTTTCAGCTCTGTTCTGCTTTGTCAAAGATGTCTGAGCTTTTATGGGTGGAGGGGATTGATGAATGTATGGCATTTAAAGCTGACCACTCCACAGGCTCTTATTCTCTGCACATCGACCACCATGTATCAACTGCTGTCTACTGAAAAGAGAAGCTTCTTGAATGAGGCCTGAGAGTTGTGCTCATCTTCCATTGTTTTTAATCAAAACATGTAGAAATGAATAGTGTTACCATTTATCTTTAAGCTCTCTTTGGATGTTCTTACCGTGTGTGTGTGTGTGTGTGTGTGTGTGTGTGTGTGTGTGTGTGTGCATGCATGTACAAACACATGTGGAGCACAGAAGACAGCCTCTGCTGCTATTCCTTTATTCTGCCAAGCTTTGGGTCTTTTTGAGACAAGACCCAAAACTTCCTGATTGGGCTAGGCTGGTTGGTCAACAAGCCCCAGAGATCTGCCCCATCTTTATTTTCCCAATGCTGGGATTACAAGTCCACGTTACCATGTCTGCCTTTTTGTTTGCTTGCTTTGTTTTGTTTTTCCTTGATTAAAAAATAGTAGGTTCTGGGAATTAAATTCATGTCTTCATGCCCTTAAAGCAAGCACTTCACCAACTGAGCTGTCTCCCCACCCCGCCTTCCCCGTTCTCCATGCTTTATTTACACTGACTCAGTGAGGTCTCTGTCACCATCCTGTATAGAGACAGAAAGTTGAGCACGGAATGGTACAGGCTGCAGAGTCTGCATCTCAGGCCTGCTGATGTGACACCCTGACTCCGCTTTTCTAGTGTGATCATGAAAACAAATCCAGCTCCCCCGCCCCACCTTATGTTGCCCTCTGTCACTTTCAGGATCAATGGTACTAGAAAGTGAAAGTGCCATATTTACTTAGCGGTTGAGAATGTAGGAAACAGATGGAAGACATGTCACGTGTTTTTCCTGGTACCCAGTGGGAAGGAATGGAATGATTGATACTGGCAAGTCTCTGATGCCCACAGAACAGCACAGCACACAGACAAGTTGGAGATCTGAACTGAGAGATGTCACCCCTGCCAGAGTGCTCTGCCGTTCTGCAGGGTGAAAAGAGAAAGGAGACAGAGGGTCAGGGCAGCCCCTGAAGTGGTTCAGTTCCCTAGAGAGTCTGCATCAGAGGAAGGAGAGGGATTGTGCCTGGGGGCATGTTGGAAGGCTGACATGGTGTGAAAAGCACGATTAGGATGCTGAAGACAATAGCAAGTACCCTCCCACCTAGGACTGCAGAGGCACATGGAGCTCTTACCAAGCACAGACATAGAAGGATGATCACATGTGAAGACAGTACATGACTAAATGTGCATCACATGGATAGCGATGTGAACAGAAGCCAAACTCCAGGGCCACAGCTTGCCTGATGCTTCCTGATACCTGGAAGGAAGGAAGAGGTGATTTTGGATTCACCAGGGCCATGCTTGTTAAGGATGTGTGATTCTGTAGACTGCCTCTAGCACGGAGACAGGCTGACCCAGGAAAAGCCCAGAGATCCTTTGTGGGCCTGTGAGTGTATTAACCACACTTATATCTGACTAAATACCCATCCCCACTTCATACCTTTTTCTACTTGGTCAAATTTGAATTTATTTGATGACTTAATAGCATTGAGAACTATGAGAAAAAAAATGGTTTGTCTGTTAACTCAGCACTCAGGAGTCAGAGGCAGGAGGTTTGCCATGATTTTGAGGCTAGCCTGGGCTACACAGTAGCAACTTATTAAAAGCAACACAAGAAGAGAGACCGTGGAAGTCTTTTGCATCAAGTGCTCATCTTTTTTATTCCTCTGGTTTTGTCCTCCAGCAGATGCTGTGAGTTGTTATTTAAGATGAGAACAAAGCTGATTTGGGCCAAATCACAGTGTCAGACACAAGGTTGAAGGGTTTTAAAAAGCATTTATTTATCTATTTTACAGTGAAGAGATGAACTCCAGGGCCTCCTGCATGCTAGGCCAGTACTCTGCCACTGAGTTCAATCCTGAGCCTGAGATCCAACCTTTAAAATCCAAGCCCCAGCCAGACTCTCTCCTTCTTGCACGTGGTCCTGGTTTTGTCATCCTCACCAGGTGTGGAGTTGGCCATTATTCATTCATTTATTCATTTTTAGCAGATTACACACCATGGAGGCTCAGAAGCTATTTCATTTGGACATGGTGACCAACACGTTTGAGTCACCCATCTGGCAGGGCAGCCTCAAAAGCAGGACAGGAGCATTCAGATTGGGAAAATGGTTTCTTGCAATTCCTTTTCAAGATGCATGCCCCAAGCCCACAGAACATTCTAGTCCTTTATCCTTGTTTCACATGTAGGGGTGTAAATTAGACAGGCTCCAAAGAGTGTGGTGTAAGTCAAAAGGCTGGGGCAGAGGACTCAGGTTACTGATTCCAGTAGAGAGAAATTACCCATGAAGGAAGCAGCGATTAAAGTAGAGAGAAATTATCCATGAAGGAAGCAGCGATTAAAGTCCAACAGATACTTAAGTAGAAGGCATTGTGCTAAGCATGTCATAAGTAAGACCACCACAATCTGAAGGAAAGCCCTGCCTTGGAAAAGCTTTTTGGCCTATGATGGTTAGTTTTTGTCAACTTGACACAAGCTACAGTTATCTGGGAAGAGGGAACCTTCGCTGAAAAAAAAATATCCATCAGATTGGTCTGTCTGCCAGCCTGCGGGGCATTTTCTTGATTAATGATTGATGTGGGAGGGCCCAGTTTTCCCTGGGTGGTGCCCTCCATGGGCAGGTGTTCTGAGCTGCATAAGAAAGCAAAGCCATTTTTGACATATATATGACACAGACTGGGGCATGGACAGAGTTCGATTCTCAGCTCACAAACATCTGTATCTCCAGTTCCAGGCATTCATGTGGTATACATACATATAAGCAGGCAAACACTACACACAAAAAATAGAAATGTAAAACAAACAAACAAAACAAGAGCAAAGCCAGTAAATATCATTTCTTTATGGCCTCTTCTTCAATTCCTGCCTTCAAGTTCCTGCCCTGCTTGAGTTCCTGTGCTGATTTTCCCCAGTGATAGACTATAAGCTGTAAGAAGAAACAAACTCTGTCCACCCCCAGTTGATTTGAGTCATGGTGTTTGTTACAATAAAAGAAAGCAAACTAGAATAGGCCAGTGGAGGAACTCAGTCTGGAATGCAAGGCAGAATGTATTGGGTGTTGTTAAGAGCACACTTAGCGTTATGGGAGTTAGAAGATGGAGCGAATGTAGGTAGCTGTGGACTAATGAGGTATTTCAAGAGAAGGAGAGAGGTAGGAAGTTGGCATCGAGTGATAAATAGTAATCTACAGGCCTCTTGAATCAGGGCCAACCAATGATACAGGAAATGATACCCTAGGGAGGATCTAGGCCCCTCCTAGCTTCTCATCCTTGAGGGCCTAGAGGCTTCTATCTGTCAGGCCAGGTTCCAGAATACTATGTAGCACTGACTTTCAGCTGTTCTAATGATGTATCTAATAATGTATCTAATAGGTCAAAACACTCTTGCTCACCAGAGCTAACACGTATGCAAATGTATTGCTATGCCTTGGTCTGGACACCTGCCAGTTCCAGCTGGAGAGGAGCATCAAGTTGCCAGGCCACTCCCAGCAGGGAGCCTAGAAAGAATATAAAGCTGGAACTTGAGGGCTAGCCAGTAGCTGGAAGCCCTCCCAACATGGGCTGCCACACCCGCCTACTTTGGCTGCTGCTCTTCCATGGTGTGATTCTCCCTGAAGCAGGTACACAGCCAATGCCCCAGGGCTCTTTACAGCTAATGCCTTGTGACAAACTGGAAAGAGAAAGTGTGGTTGTTTGTCCCTGGTCCTCTGATGCACCAGCTTAAAATGAAGCAAGGGAGCCCTTACTTTGTTTAACATAATCCGGCCGCTGATGAGAGGCTGTTGTGGTCAGCTGCACATCACCACGATCGTTTTATGGAAGTGGAGTCAAATATTTTATGGGAGATTTGATTTCTGTGAACAAAGCATCAGTCAGTTTACTGTTTTATAGACTGTGGTTCTGTTTGTAGGATTCTGCAGGGAAATAGAGAAGGACTATTGGCCAAGATTAGCCAGTGAGGGACTTCGAAGTGTTCTTTGGCTCATGTGTTCTTATTTTGGTGTTTAGCACTCAGTAAGAATAATGACTTATAGTTGGCATTTCTTTTCTAGTGTTGAATGGATCTTGAAAATGGTAATAAATCATCCTGACCTGAACTATTTGATATGACATAAATTATCTGGACTTGACTTACAAAGATTTCTTTTCTGAAAAAATGTATACTTTTTATGAAATCAGATTGATTCCTTTGATATTTTTGGTTTTAATGTGTATTCTTTACTAGCCTGCTCATGGAACTTCTAATTTCATTTGAGACTAAACTAATTTGAAACATTTACATAATCTTGATGATTTTTGTCATTATTCAGTGGCTTTGAGGGAAAATATTCAAGTCTTTTATTGTTTAGTTCTTTTCACCTGAGAATAAATAAGAAAGTAAACAAATGAGTATTTGGGAATACTCCCCAAAACAAATAACTTGATTATAGATAATTGTATGTATAGTTTATGTAATATTCCCACTATTAAAAAAACAGATAGGTTGTACTAAGGCATGAGGAAGAATTTAATGCTTTCTTGGATGCATTGTACCTCCTTTTTAGTCTACATGTCCTATAATATTTGTGCCTGGGAATGCAGACTAGAGATGCAAACACATAGAGCCTCAACCTGTGTGTGGGTCATGACCCCACAGGGGTTGAACCACCTTTTCACAGAGGCCACCTAAGATCATTGGAAAACCAGATATTTATATTATGATTCATACAAGTAGCAATGAAATAATTTTATGTTTGGAGGTCACCACAACACTGTATTAGGGGTCACAGCATTAAGAAGGTTGAGAACCACTGCTCTGAAGCATTCAATCCTTAATGAGCACTTTCTAACCCTAGGAACTTGGAACACATTTTGAATCCCCATGCTGCTGTGGCCTCTCCTACAAAAGCATATGATGTCTGTCTGGTAGATTTAGTGAATTGACATTAGGAAATTAGGAATGCTCAGTCAATCTAACTGCTGTTACAGTAAATTACAAATTGCACATCTCCAATGAAGACATAACGTTATCAGATCTCAGATGCCGGCTATAACCCTGAGCCATACCACTTCCATTCTCCAAGCTCCCCCAGGAAATCAGGGTTCTCCCCTTTCACCGTTTCAGTAGCCCACCCTTCTTTTCTTCCTTCCTTCCTCCCTCCCTCTCTCCCTTCTTCCCTCCCTCCCTCCTTTCTTTCCTTCCTTCCTTCCCTCCTTTCTTCTTTTCTTTTTGCTGTGTGTGTCTGTGTTGGTATGTGCACCTGAGTACAGTCCCCACAGAAGCTACAAGAGAAGTAAGAACCCTGGAGCTGAAGTTACAGGGCGTCGTGAGCAGCCCAGTGCATGTGCTGGGAAGTGAGCTCAGGTCTTTGGCAAGAGTAGTACATCCTCTTAACTTCCGAGTTACCTCCCCAGCCCCTCAGTAGTAATTTTCGAGTAATAGATTCAACTTTCAAGGTATAGCAAAAGGAACTTTTCTTTATTTTCCTCCGTGAATAACAAGCCCTGTTGTTCATGGTGAACACTGGGGAAATCTGTGAACTGTGCCAATAGTGTGTGGGAACTGATGGGGTTTCCTGGCAGGTAAGAACTTCTGGAATGTCCTGGGAGAATTCAGAGTCCTATCCAATCATTTTAGCTTCACCATGGCAAAGATGATTGTTGAGGTCGATTGTATTCAAAGGGACAGTGTTGGCTCTTGACCTAACCCAGAAGGGGTCCCAGTGGGTCCGCCTGTAGCCATAGTGGAGACTGCTTTTGGGAAATGCTCCTGGGGTATGACCAGGCCTATTTGGACCTGAGTGTAGAAAGGATTTAGCATGGATATGGGAGTGGGAAATGAAAAAATAATTCTCAGCCCGGAACAAGAATAACAATTTCTATGAGCTGTGGTGGGGGGAATGGAGCCCAAATTCAGTGGTTCTCTTAAGAATGTGTTCAGGGAGCCCCTTATAAAACACTAGGAACAACAGGGTAGTCTCCACACAAGAATCAACCTGGGTCCTGGCCCTAGCTTCCCTGAGCCCCACCTTTCATCACACTGAAACTCAAGCTTCAATAAGAAAAGTGTCCCAGAGAGGGCTGTGATTACTCTCTAAGGGGCACTCGAGTAAGCCAGTCACAGCATTCAGCTCTCCTCTCTGCCATGCTTCTGTCCTCTTTGGAGTTTGCTAATGTCCTACTAGGTGTTAGAACTGTCTGCTGTATTCAGCAGCACACGCTGGTCTGCGGCCTCACGCTGCAGCATGGCTCCCAGCACCACAGAGCGCCCACTTAAAGACTCTGAGCAAATGAGTGGAAAAGCAAGGAGCAAGAGCATCACACCCGAAGCCCCCTCTGTCCACAAGCTTCTCCTGAAACAAAGATAGAGGATTACGTGTTATTTTTTTTTCCACCTAAGTTCTACAAATCTAAGGATACTTGAACTGCTCAGTAGATCTGGTAGACACTACTTGGAAGTCTCAGTTACCAACAGGGCTGACTTTTCCTCTAGCCCCCTAGAGCCTCCTTTATCTCTGTACCCTTTGCAATCGTCCTGTTCCTGTCCACACTCTTGCTGCACCTCTCCGAAATATGTAAGTCTTTTTACGGTTTCCAGGTGGGGGTGTCTTGAGCTTCCAGGAGCCAAGGATTAGTGACATGATATGGTGCAATAGGCTTTGCCAGGCTCTTAATGATTGCACAAGAGCCTCATAGACAATGGGTTCAGTGTGACTTTCCAAGAACAACCACCCAGGGACATAGTCCAGCTCCCTGAAGGTCGTGTACTGATAGAAGGGATTTGTGGAACTTGCAGATCATCGGAGCCTTGGGTGTTACTGGGGCAAATTCACATGAAAAGTGCAAAGGGCACCTTGGTGGCCACCTCAGAAGGCTGCTGGTGGAGATATAGTGTAGGCCAGTTCTAATGCAGTGGGTCAATCTCTGCTTTAGGTAGGACTCAGGTGCTATCTGATGACATTTGTAGCTTTTCAGTTAGTGGAAGCTAATGGTCTGCTAAGAATATATTCCATGGGTTATCTGATATTTAAAAAAGGATGTTGGGTCAAATGCAGAAGGTGGGTGATAAACAGCTCTAAGGAGATTAAAAATGGCTCAGAATGATTTTGATTCTCGACCTACAACCTTCCGATTCTCAGTCATGAAGTTCTAGCCAGCCTTGTAGACTCTTCGACAAGAGTGCCTTTATTTTCCTGGAAGCTTCCACTTAAAATACTCTCCAACTTAAATAGGAAAACAGTCTCTACAAAGCCACTGTGGTCAACTGACTCTCCTTCCAGCTGTGCTGCTGAAGGGTGCCTACCTGCTGACCCATGCACCTCTGGTCAAATGCTAAGCAAATGTCACACTGCTTTGCTGAATGCTATGAGGACTTGGGATATAAATACTCACACCTACCAAACACTTACAACATACAATCACACATACTGTCTTAGTTAGGGTTCTACTGCTGTGATGAAACACCATGACCAAAAGCAGCTTGGGGAGGAAAGGGTTTATTCACCTTAGAGTTCCAAATCACAATTCATCATCGAAGGAAGCAAGGACAAGAACTCAAACAGGGCAGGGACCTGGAGGTAAGAACTGATGCAGAGGCTATGAAGGAGTGCTGCTTACTAGCTTGCTCAGCCTGCTTTCTTTCTTTCTTCTTTTCCTTTTCTTTCTTTCTTTCTTTCTTTCTTTTCTTTCTTTCTTTCTTTCGTAAATGACTCAATATTTTAATCACAGGAGCAAACAAATACATTCTTATAGTAAGACACTGTTCTGTTGTTTCAAGTATTTGAAAAATGACTACTGTTAAAGCAGGTGTATATAACTGAATGTTCTGTATGATGAGAATGGTATATGGTGACCACTTTTTAAAACCAGGGCACAATTTTAAGCATGTTACATCTTACCTGTATTCTTGAGGATAAGTCTTAACTTTATATAACATGATGACGTTTTGCTTGATAGGGATATACTTCTTTTTTGTTAAAGGTATCACATGTCATTTATTTATTTATTTATTTATTTATTTATTTATTTATTTATTTTATATAACCAAGTCCATTTAAATGAAAACAAACATTTATAGACAATATTTGGGAATTTGGGCGTCGTTCTTTCCAAACTACTTCCTGCTGGTAAGGGGCGCTGTCATGGGGGAATTCGAAGAAGATTCAGAAATCCTGGCTGTAGTCTGTAAGGCTGCTTTGTCCAGCTGTTTTGAATGTAGGATCACCTGGTACTCTGTTTCAGGTGGTCTGGCTTGATCAAACCACATTAGTCTGGAAGGAATCCACATCTTTTTCATTTTCTGTGGAAACAAAAATAGAAATCCTTTTCCCCAGTAACTTGTCCTTGAACTTAAATTTTGGAGTCAAAGCATTCTTTTTAATTTAATTTATTATTTTGCATGTCGATCCCAGTTCCCTCTCCCTCCTTCCCTCCCTCCCTCCCTCCGTCCTTCCCTCCCTTTTACCCTCTCTGCCCTCTCACATGCATTCTAACCACCCTCCCCTCCCATACCCCCACCCCAATTCCATATGTAGGGGAATGCCATCTAGTTGGGGTCATGTAGATCTGACAGGTCATGTGAAGTAAGGACTAGGGATTCTCTCCTGTCTCTAGGTTAGGCAGTATCCCTCCATGGGGGATG